ATAAGACGCTTGAAAGTTTTCAATCTGTCATAAAAACGATATTCTACTGGTTAATTACAACTGTTTCTCAGATATATTATCAATTTCAGAGTTCAATCCGACATTTAGCTGATGTTTTTATCATTTTCTGAGACAAGGAGAAGACATTAAAGGTGGCATTAGGGTTTCACAGCAAATGGAGTAGGGAATCATGACATCAGTTGGCCTTTAAAACAGGTGCGTTAAAGGGCACTGCCTCAAATTGAATGCATTATTGATAATTCACAAGAACTCAAGCTAGAGAAACACAAGATGATGAGTAAAATGAATTTAACTGCATGAAGTTCTATTCGATCACGACTCTCTAATAAAAGATATACGGAGAGGGAATAGTCACCTTTTCCGTTTTTTCCTCTGTAAAAAGTGGAACATTAAAGCACTGACGTTCTGCAAAGGTGACTGTTTGAAGCACTAGTGATTAAGATTCTCAGTATTATCTAAAGATTTTGAAACTCAGGGTAATAGTCTCTAAGGGCAAATTCGGAGCATTGTCATTGTTAGAAAGGAACTCATCGATATTCATACAGAAAGGTCCTTCATACCGATATAATTTCCACTGGTAAATCTATTTTCAGCACTTTCCGTCAACCATTAGTTTTGAGCTGCTGCAGTAATTTCTACACCGAAAGCTACTCTATCTTACTTATCTCTATATTTTCTCTGCGATGCAAGCCTGCTTTATACTTAACACACGCTATGCTTCAGAATTTTCGGAATGGTGTTTCTCTGGCCGGCCGAGACACAAGATATGTTTCCGCTTTGCAACAGCACAAAACATAACTAACCCAATACGACAATAAATAGATTCGCCAGAAAACGCCACAAACATCGGCAGGAGAAAACGTTAACGTCTCCTATGCACCTGCTCGTAACAAGGGCTTTTTTTTTTTTTTTTATATTCCATAAAAAACCGTCAGCTTCTCGTAGAGCTTCGTTTCCAACCTCGTTCTCCGTTCCAGGGTTTCTCTACGTCGCGCCCACTGAAGCGGGACGAAGAAAGACTGAGATTGTTCCATTTCTCGTCTGCATTAGCGTGGACGGTAAGCCTGCTTTTAACTTTCTAGAAGAAGAAAAATCAATGAAAAAAGAAAAATTGGTGTTAGCGCGCCGCGGGAAGCTCCTGGGTGACGTCAATGCGCCACGGCGACTAAGCCAAAGAGTTTGACTTTGCACGGCTGAGTCATTTTCAGGCGTCAAATTTTCTAATCGTTTCGCGATTCGTGCGATATCGGTTTTTGCGCGCAATTTAACGCGGAAATCACGAGTCAGGTGGATTTTCATGGATTTTTCTTGAATCGCATATAAAAATAAGCACGAAACAAGAGACGCGAAACAATATCACTTAGTCTTATTTTCAACTCATAATTTCTCGCTAAGTACCATGCTTCATTAGCCAATCAGAATGAGAGATTTTTATCAATTATATGATTCCAATGAGACTTTGAGACTACCTATCTTAATTACCAGTCAATCAACTTGTCATCACAACACACAGGTGATCTCAGAATATTTAAACCATTTCAAATTTCGAGGCGCACTATAAACTGGAAATCAGTAAAATGTTTCAGTAAGGATGACTCTCATGAACAAAACTCATAGGAAGATACAAGAAAGGCAGGCTGGCCAAGGAACCATCGCAGAACGACTTTTTCCGTGTGTGTGCTTATGATTTGTCTTCGGAGAAAACATTCATACAGTCTTCGTCCTTCCTTATTACCTGAACGACTGGAAGGCCAAGTTCGTTGAGTTCGCTGACTTGTTCCACCGTGGTGCTGTTAAGCGGCGAAATAACAAGGACACACGATTAAGCTGATTGAGAGATTTTTCCGAAACAAAACACCTGGCTCCGGTTGTTCAAAGGGCAGATAACGCCATCCAACGGATAAATTGCCATCCAGCGGATAAGTGTTACCAAAATGTAGTGCGCTATCTACCGGATAGAGATTTATCCAGTGTACAGCATTATCCATCCTTCGAACAACCGGGGCCTGATAGACAACGCTCTCAAGTCCGTTTGCAAAATTGTGAGAACGTTTCTGCTAGCGGTAAGAGCTTGTTGCACCATATTCTGCTCTGATTTCAGCGAAATTGTCTGAAACTGCAATACTCCCCCGCAGGTCACCAGCTATCTGAAGCGTTGACTTGTATGACCGCTTGTTGACAAATTGCGGGCCGATAGCCAATCATATTCTTGCGTTGTGAGAGCAACGTAGAATTCAAACTCTTGGAGCTAATTAGTCGGTAGTCCCTACTTATAAAGCGCCTCACTCATGGAGCTCCCGCGGCGCATCGACATCACTTCAAGAGTTTCCCGGGATGTGCTAATATCAGTTTTTTTTTTTCACTAATTTTTTTTTTTTATCCGCGACGGACCTAGTTGAAAAAGGGGACTGCTCGTGGTCTATCGAATTTAATAATGTACCATTTTTTTTTTCTCCTTCGCTGAAGAGCGTGGAGTTTCATTGATGCTCTTCATTTCAATCATTCCCACACATGCAATCATGCTACCATGTTAACCTCTTGCGTTACCAAGATGATTATACAGCAACCTTGTTCTCAGGAAGACACAGGACCCTGGGAACGAGGTTAAGGTTGTAATTTCTTGAATTATTTTCGCTCGTCTTAATCTAAAAAGAATACATCAGCAAATGTATTCATTGAGGCTCAAAGCTTCACTAATTCAACCTTTTAAGTAAAAAAAACAGATCTAGATTGAGCGATTTTCAATTGTCAGCGGTTTAAATTGTCCGCCGCTTCTTCTTTATTAAAAGGGAATAGATTAGTAAGGACCCGATTCTTGCCATTAGTGTTCTTTCTTTCGTGTGAACAAAGTTGGAAACTGAGTCAGGAGGTTAGTTTTAACAAAGCTATTTTGATTAAGTAGCGTCTGAGGCTACTCTACAAAAGATTGTCAGACTGTCATGGCAGCTTGTGACGCCTAAAAATGATCTTTGTCATGAGTAAGTCCCTGCCTCTGTTGCTGATGAACAAGTGAGGTTTTGGATACGAATCAGGCCTAGAGTAGCTGTGTAGACACGCCTGAACACTCGTTTAAACGGTTAAATATGGCATTTGT